TAGATAAATTTTACCTTAAAAGCACAAACATTCGTTGCACTCCAACAGTGTGCTTAAATACAGCGCTTACCTATGACCTTTATAGTGTCTGGAATTTACTTGAAATTTCATACAAATACAAACTGGACTGATGGATGGGAAACAGGATGAGCGGACAAAAGTACTAAAAACCAACACAAGAAAATGCTCATTACAGAGTATGGGCAGGAGTGTTTGGGTGTTAAGTGTTCCTGAAACTTTTTTTGCTTAAAAAGGGGGTGTTTGCAGGCGTGTCACTGTGCCCTTGCCTTAACCCAAGTTAAACACTTGACAAGGCACCCATACCCTCCAACCCCTGGGATTGCATGGGTTCAATTCTGAGGACAAATGAAGATCTGAGGAACACAAGGAGCTTTATGGGAATAGCTATCACTCAAGCCTGAGACTTTCTGACTGTTTCCTTACAGTCAAAGCCATTATCTGAATGTAAGCCAAAACTTCCTGCTCAAAAGAGAGAGAAAAAGACCTCACTGAACTCCTGCAGCAAATCTATTACCATACAGTGCTTCATTTTCATTCGCCCCAGGTCCAAACAACCAAAACCCAAATGAAAAGAAACCGACCTAAGAACTGGCTACACTAATCAGACAGAGAGGCGTCCAGTTCGACGGGCTACTTAGGGAGCCCAGGAGCCACCGTGGGTAAGAGGACACAGTGCTCTTCTGTCTGAGGGCAAAGTGATTTCTCCAAGGTTAGCGGACACGCACCTAAGTGCCCAAGAGCCTGCGGCTCAACTCTTCGGTGGGGTTAGCGTCGAGGGGGTCACTAGAACTTCCTGGGAATTTGGCTGTTCAAAAGTACCAAGTAGGAACCACAGCCGCCAGGAGTACATGGGGTGCACGATGGCCTGACCCACAGGCCCCGAGGGTGCTCACACTACACCCAACTTTCCTCCGGGGCTAGGCCTCCCTTATCCTGAGATGACACAGGATGACAGGGATTGGAATATGCCTGGTCCGTCTGTATGCTCAGCATCTGTAAATGGTTGCAAGGATGGAGACAAAAAGAGCCGTTCTTGGGGCTGGGGAGATGGCTCAGTAGAATAAGCACTTGCCTGGCAAGCGCAACAGTCTGAGTTCAATCCCCGGTTCCACCAAAAAAAAAAAAAGAGCAGTTCCTGGGAGCCAGGGAAGTGACTTATACCCAAACACTTGTGCCACTCTCTCTGGTGATAGCGGCTGTTGCTGCTGGCGATGTTAAACAGTTTTTGTTTTGTGTGTGTTTTTTTTCAGCCCCCACAGGCATATGGAGCAGCTGAACACGAGCCACAGACAACAGGCGGGCAGCAGGGAGCAAGCCAGGGTCAGAGCCAGCCCTCCACGAGGTTCTCCTTGCCCAAAACAGCGGCGCCCAAGGTGAAGGGCACCAGCTTGGCCCAGAACAGACGCGCATGCTTGACAACTCGGCTTCCTTTCTGCTCAGACCTGTACCCACCTGAGCGTCCCCTGCGCTCACCGGTTTAGGGCAAAGAAGGAAAATAAACCCCTTTTCCAAAAGGAAAAGTCCGGGCTTCCACTGCCCAGGGTCTCTCCACGCCCTGCTCATCGCCTCCAAAGGGACAGGCGACCTCTCAGCACTGGACAGGTCCGGTGTGGGCCACACAGTAGCTCTGCCCAGGAGGAAGCCCACCTCCGAGGCGCACGAGGGTCGTGGGTAAGTGAGGCGCTGGTCCTCCGTATGCCACCCTGTAACCTGGACTCGGAGGTTACCTCCCGCCTGACCTTCGCTGGGCACAGCGTGGAGCCGCGTGTCCTGGGCCCACCTGTAGCCTCAGCGTTCCCACCGCGTCCCTTCTAGGGGAACCCACGACACCCAGCGTACTACTACGAGCACCTCTCCAATCCGCCATGGATGATCCCCCAACCCACCCCCCGAAAAAAAGTTGGGCCAATAGCCCGGCACCCCGCGAGCAGTCCGGTCCCCATCCAACCCAGGCCGAGGGGATCGAACGGCAGGTCCGGGGACCCCGCACGGGGCAACCTGCAGGGAGGTGCCTTGCGGGGCTCGCCCTGTTCGCTGGGGACGGAGTGTATAGGACCGAAAAAAGAGGTGCCCGTGACCCCGACAGCCGGAGCCCTGCCGCGCACCCACCTACCTTCCCGGGTCGGCGACGCTGTGGGCGCGGGCTCCCCGAGACGAGACGTTGCGTCCCGGGAGGAAAGTTTGTGTTCTTCGGCTGCGACGGCGCTCGGAAAACGTGGGCGCCGGGGTGGCGGCAGACCGTGGTGGCGGGGCGTGCTCGCTTGTCCGTCCCTGGGGTGATCGGCGCGTGTCCCTCCCCAGAGCCCGCGGCCGCCGCGCTCCCGCTCGCTCGCTGCGACCTGAGCCCCGCGCGCTCCGGCTTCAGCCCCGACGCGCCCCCGCCGCCGCTGCGCGTCCGCTGGCTACACTTCCTCTTCCTCTGAACTCATGTGCAAAATATGCTGCGCTGCATCTTCAGGGGAAGCCGAGCGGCCCTGACAGCCGCAGTGGGAGCCGTGGGCCCGCCCAGCGTACACCCCTCCGCACTCCCCTCTGCGCCCCGCGCCCCCTTCCAATTCGGCGCCCCGCCTCCGCGCAGCTGCAGTCTTGGGGACTTGCTCGCGGTCCAGGAGGTCTGAGGCTGACCTTCACCCTCAACCCGCCTAACCAGGTTGTGTGTTTTTCGGCGCGGAACGTGGGAGACTAGGATTCCCCTAGATTTGAGCCAAGATGCTGGAAGGGTGAACTCCATTGAGGTGCGGGGAGGGGCCAGGGACAGGGCACCAAGCTGAGGTCCCATGCCACAGGTGGCAGAGTCCCTGTCTTCTGGGTGTTGACCAAGTTATTTCTTGGGAAGTAGCTCTTCCTTAGAGGAACGATAGGGCTGTCGTCCCCTTATCATCTTGAATTCCACCTACATATGGTATTTTGAGGGGAGACTTGGTGAATCGGCTACCCTGGAAGGCAAAAATTACATAAAGTCCTGTTTACGTAAATACAGGACTTTCTGTAATTTTACATAAAAGTTCCAGGGCCTGGAATGGCACAGCATTGCCAAAGTGAGACGTGAGGCGGTGGGCCCATTTTAAAGACTATCATTTTTGGCACTAAACAAGGCAAAACGACTGTGGAGAAGTTGAGAGAGGAATCCCAAAACCAAATGGTTAGAATCGGCTTCCTCATTTGTGTCCCCATTTCTGTGTGACTTGGACCTGTTCATTTGTCATAGAGCACTTCCTCCTGCGCTATTAAATGTGTTTAGGAAGCACTTGGTAGCTTGGCTGTTATCATTATTATCGTTGTTACAAGGGAGCTGGAACAAGAAGGCTGAAATAATTTAGTCAATTACCTCCATTTTCTGCTTGGGCAAAGAGGAATCCTGAGGCAATGGAGCCCCTGGGCAGTGGAGGGGTGGTTTAGACCCTAGTGTTTTAATGAGGTCCTTCTGGTACTAATAACACCTCCTAGGGGGTAAGAAAGCTCTGTGTTGTTTTCAGGAATTCATCTTGTTACCACCGCTCCCGGTGGCCATCCCGCATCCCAGTTCAGCTCCCGCTCCAGTCCTTTCCCTTTGCTAGTTTGTTTTTCTCCACCCCACCACTTCCTGTCATCACTTAACTCAGCAACTGTGATTCCCTCCCTTCCTCCTGCCCTTGAGCTTGACATTTGGGAGAAAACAGTAAGATCAGGGGACAACCCAAATCCAGGTCCAGAAGCACGCCAATAGTTTTGAACGTCGTTTTATGAAGCCAAAGGCGGGGATTATTATGCTACTTAAAAATCCTGCCTGAGGCCTTGAGTTGCAGTGTCAGAGCCCATGTGAAACCTTTCTCAACCTTTGACAGCCGCTCTGGAGGAGAAAGAAAGTGGTATTTATTAGAAGTAACTAGTACTTAAACACAAGGTGTTTAAAAGAAAAGAATAAGGTAGAGGGAGGCTGCAGAACGCTGTAGTTAGAGAAAGTAGTTGATTTCTTTTAAGCAAATTATTTCCACTTAGGAAATTTGTGTGCACAGTTGTATTTTAGTGTGTGTTCATAAAAAGAAAAGCAGGTCTTTGTGGCTATTCTGATGGTTTCCTTTTTCTTTTTTTTTTTCTGAGTATTAATAATTTGTAAATGTCTTCAATGATTTTTTTTTCTCCTGTTTGGCTTTATTTTTTTTTTTAGGTTACCCTAAAATTCTTGACCTTTCCTACCTGACATGTAGTAGGGGTTCATTAAACAGGTGCAGAATGAATGAATGGGTCATTAACATCCAAATCTTTTCAAGTTTCCTGTATATTCTCTTTTACCTGAACTGTGCAAGGAAGAGCCAAGCATTAGAATCACTTCTCTTGCGTAGAAAGCTGCCTCAATCTTCCACTTGGCTGCCATGGGCTGGCCAGCCAGGGGACAGATACTGGGCAGCCGGGCCTTACCTCTAACTGACCTCATCTACCCGGCATCAACCCCAAAGATGCTGGAACTGTATCCTGGTGGGTTACCTTGGCAACCTCACAATGTCATCTGTTAGAATGTCCTAGGGCGGCAGCTTTTAATTCTATCACAGCGGTCTCATCGGGGGTCATGTAATAGTGCTGTTTTTCCTCTGCTCACACTTCTTCCCCTATGATTTAACACTAAGTACTTGGGGAGGGAGCCGAACACGGGAAAAGCAAGCTATTACCGCACACAGGTCACAGATGGCCTCAGAACTGGGGTCCCAATGGATTGAAGTCGACAAAACGCGGACCCCAAGTTAATGGGGAAGCTGGTTCTTCTCACACCCCCTGTGGAAAGGAGAGGAGGGAAGCCAGTCTAGGCAAGTGCAAGAAGCAGCCAGAGCCAGACTGTGCGAGGCATGTAAAACCTCAGCAGCAGGACCCCAACCCAGCAGTGCTTTCTTGGCTTCAGCAGTTAGCTCACCAGCACACACACCATTTCTGGGATGATTGAGGCTGGGGATGCCACCAGTTCAAGCAGTTTGGCATCCCAAGTACACCCAGGCTTGGAGCGAAGGAGAACCTCTAAAGAACTCCATTGCCCATTATTCTGTAGAAAGCAGTAAGAACTTTTGGCAGAAAATAGGCCTAACAGAGACAGTTTGGTGGCCTAAATGCCTTCCTGGTAAGTGCAAGGTCCAGAGTTGGATCACCGCACGCCTGTAATCCCAGTGCTGGGGAGGCTGAGACAGAAGGGTCACTACAAGTCTGAACTGTGTAGTGAGACCCTGTATCAATCAATCAATCAATCAACAAATAAATAAATATGAAAAAAAAGAGAAAATAGGCCCAACAAGAGCTTTGGAACCTGAAGCATTATTGTCCTAGTTGCTTATTTACAGGACTAGGAAACATAGAGCTTATACCCACCAGATGAATGGCACCAGTTCACCATTTCAGGGCGGATGGAAGAGATAAGTACACTCATCTTTGCCCCAGAGGTGCAAGAATTATTCATCTTTATTATCAGCGTTAATATTTTAAGTGGCTAGAGTCACAGTTGGGCCAGTGCATCATACTCAGTTGTTACAGGAAGCGGCCTCAGGAAGGGTAACAAGGGTTCCTGTAAGGAGTCTCAGTGGCAGAGCCTGAGGTTCTGTCACACAGGGTTAGTGACTGGGGAGAAACACCTGCCTTTGATTCACTGTTGCAGGCCCAGCTCTGGAAAGCTGGTTCCACACTAGTCACAGTGGAGCAGAGTAAGACTTATGCCAATGTGAAGACGTGCCCCTGCCTCCCTCCGTGGTGTGGGTGTGTGAGCTGGGAGGGGGGAAGGAGCCTGTGAGGTATGTTTTGCATATTCATTGATCCACCAAAGCCAGAGACTTTTGTCCAAAGTACAGTCAAGCTCATACTTTGAAAATACCACCCACAGGCATCGCCAATTTGAGGAAATATTGGATGAGCGCCAAATATTCCATTCACCACCATCCAAAAGAAATATTGTTATTCTGCTCCTGAATCTACTCTTCATTTTCCTTCTGAATTCAGTCTGAGGCAGACAGGCAGTTCAGGGGCGCAGGGGCCCTCCTGTGGCTGTGAGAGAATTTGCTCTCTGGAGCAGAGAGCCATCGGAGGCTGAGTCTCCCAGTGTTGTGAGAAACTGCTGCCACTCTCCCCACGTCTCCAGAGGAATCCTCTGGCTTTGTGAAAAGCCAGCCGCAGCCACCGGCGTGTTGGGTTAGCCCATTTGTGAGGCACACTTCTATACTTGTGTTTGTGTAAAAACTTCTTATTACCAGAGATAGGGAGGGGACACAATGCGATTGGAAAACGTGGAGATTTTTCAAATTAAATAATTGATTACAGTAAAAGACACATTGCCATAAATCCCCCTGAAAATGGGTCCCCTCACCTCGAACACACTTGTCCCATTTCTCCTGTCACTTCTTTTTTTAAAAAAATCTTTTATTTATTTATTTACCTATTGGGTAGAGGTTCTCACTACCCAGCTTGGACTCATAGTGATCCTCCTGTCTCAGCCTCCGCAGCACTGGGATTACAGGTGTCCACCACCACGGCCAGTTTTGGGGCCCACACTGTGTGTCCCAGGGTTCCAGGACTAGCACAGCATGTGGTACCAGGGATCAGGGATTCAAACCCGCGTCCTTGTGCTTGCCAGGCAGGCGCTTAGCCCACCGAGCTGTCTCTCCAGCCCACTCTTGTCACTTTCTGAAGCAGTTCTGGAAGTTCTCTCATGGGTCTTTAGTAGTGTTCTCACACTGTCTTGATGTCCTGGGTCCGTTTAAAACATTCACCTTTCATGGTAACTTTACACATTCTGGGTAAGAGGCAGGAGTAACACAGTGCCAGATCGGGTAAATAAAGTAGATGAGGACTCACCATAATGTCTGTGTGAGCATGCCTTTCCCTTGGGGTGGCGCCCCGCAGCAGCATTCACTATATTTTTTTAATTACACTTTATAAAGACACTCATGAAAGAGAATCGCCAGAACAGCTTCACAATAGTGGCAAAAATGACAGGATAAGCATGTTCAAAGCCAGGAGAGAATTGTGAGGTGGCTTAGTGGAAATGGTTTTTTTTTGTGATAGTTTTTTTAAAATTTAAACATTGGGCTGGTGAGATGGCTCAGTGGTCTAAAGCACCTACTTAGAACAAGCTTAGCAGGGCACAGGGACCGCGGTTCAATCCCCCAGCACCACATGCCAGCCAGCCCCGCCCTCTGGTGGGCTGAGCTGGCCACACACACACACACACACACACACACACACAAATTAATTAATTAATTAATTAATTTAAAGAAAAAGAAATAAATTTTTAAAAAAACAAAATTTAAACATTCACCATATATTCTGGTCACCTCTGATAGGTAGGCAGACAGACAGTGATAGACAGAGGTTCCTCAGATGTCAGAAAGGGGGAGATTGTGGG